AGTTTGAGTGCCCTACCTAAAACTTTTGATGGTTTAACAAAATTATTTTCAGATCTGTATTCAGTTAAACTTTTTGATACTTGAGTAAAATCGTTTTTCCGCGAAAAAATAATTAATTTTCTCTAGCTGATTTGTGTTCCGATAGACAGTGAAACTTTTAATTTTCAACAGATTTTTTTATGTTTTTAATTAGAAATACACGACAAAAAATCAATAATAAATTACGCATCTCGAAGATACTGTATTGATGATTTGTACGAATAGTAATTTAATTTCTTGTCATCACGAATGCGAGATTTGAAACAGTTTCACGTAAAGAAAAAAAAATATCACTCGGTTGTCACGGTGACGGATGTCCTGTGAAATTGCAATTTGCACGCGTTTTCAACGAGCCACGCGTCAGGTCCATTCGAATAATACCCAGTGTAAATGTTACGCTTTATAAACGGGCTAGAAATTCGAAAATGCGGCCGAATGACGGCAACTATTGTTCGTTTAAAATAAATTCAAGCAAATTTTACTATCGCGGAGTCCTGTTGACATTCGAGGTATTATTAAGAAATGATAAGCCTGAAATTTATCATTCAAATAAAGATTGGCCTTCCGAGACACTGCCTGAGTACTAAATGTATGTTCTGTTGGAGTCATTAGTACGCTTACATATTTCTTTATCACACGTCATAAATCTGTGCGTCTTATGCCTATTTCCACCAATGTAGATTAACTTTAATCTCGATTCTACATACTCTTCATTTTTTAATTCTAATGCCCGTTTGTCATTGTAGATTAACTTTAATCTTGATTCAACTTGCTCTTTATCTTTTTCTGATTCTTGGAACTAAAGGAAAATGAAGAGATGATTGAATCAAGATTGAAATTTGAAAACTACATTGGTAGAAATGGGAATAAAAATAACAATAGAAACGTTAACAATGTATTTTTTAAAACCGTATGAATATACACAACGAATAGCAAATAAAAACCGTAAACAATCAATTACAGTAGAAAAAGATGAAGCGTAAGTTAGAGATTCAAATTAATCTATATTGGTGGAAACAAGCGTTAAGTTGAAAATTTATTGCCAGTACTGAAAATCTATAGTTTACGTTACGTGCATTATAGATTTTCAGTATTGGCAGTAAATTTTTTTTGGAACATAGTCTTTATCAAGTAAGATTTGCACTCACGAATATGAAAAAAACAGTCTCGCATTTTTCTCGATCGATCGATCATCGATACACTTACGTCACGATACGTCCGTGCTCTTAAGACAGCCTTGTCTTCGGCCGTGAAGAACGCGTGAACAGGATCACCACTATTGTCAACTTCGCTCATCGCCGGCTAGCCTTGCACTAAGCAGTCATTTAGTTCGTTCGCCACGATAACAAAATACCCGCGGGAGAGTTGGTAGAACGTGTTTTAGAAGCCCTGTCGGATTCATCAGGGCACACGCTGTACTCACGGTCAGTAATTCTTTATCACTTTACCGCGACCTATTAGCGATGCCCCCAGTTATTCTTCTGTGGAAATGTCGGATTTACGTAATCCTCCGCAAGAGAAATAACTAACGCATCAATTTTACGTCGATTCTATTTGATTTCTCTTCTATTTAATTTTTTTCTGATATTTTCCAGAATTAATCGATCATAGAATTCGATTTTAAATTGAAAACGGATTTCAAACAAAGTGAATTTTTTTTTAGAATTTTGTCGCAATGCAAAATTTCGAAATTGTTTTTGTATTATAAAAATAGAAAATGATAACGGAAAGTCGTCGATAATTAAATATACTAAGTCTCCTAAAGAGACTCTCTTATTTCTTGGAAATTAATTGTTGTATTAGATAATAAAAAAAAATAAAAATTTACAATTCACAATATATTGGTTTGCAGTTTTTATTACAAAATTAGCTAAAAACGAATAAATGTAAAAATAAAATAAATTCGTACCACTTTCTTTTGCAAATAGTTAAAATAAAAGACTACATACTGATAACATTATATTTACGTTATATATATTTATATATTTCCTAAATCAGTTCAATTTTTATATATTTTAATTTTTTTTATGATATGGCTTTAAATATAAAATAAGAGTAAAACTAGAATCAAAAGTAACGCGGGTAAGTTGTAACTTTTACATAAAAAAAACTTTAGAGACAAAACACACAGTGTAAACACAAGTGTAAAGAAAAGATAGAAATTTGTAATAAATATAAAATAATAAAATAATTGCGAATTTCTATCTCTTTCTTATACGCTTGTGTATTTTATTTATAACGTTTTTTAATGTAAATGTTACAACTTACCCGTGTTACTTTTGATCCCAGTCTCTTTTACAACATAAACCGGCACACTTGTCTGCAAGGCAGATGTCACCAACACCATAAGCTATAATTCTTTCAATCCTTACAGTTTTGCCAAATTATATTATAGTGTCAAATAGCCCTATTGGAGATGAAAGAAATTGTGTATTTTTTGGAAAGCCCTCAAAAAAAGAAATTGCGCGTTACATGCGTTTGCGTCTTGCAGAACAGCATGTATAAAATGCATATAATATGCCAAGGTTGGCAATGTTACCTCATAAAAATACTCGTTACTATTATCATTTTTTTTCCTAAAACTCATTATCGTTACTCATTATTGATTTGCAAAAGTAACGTCACTCAAAATGTAACGAATCATTACTTTTTTTCTTGATATTAATAGAATATTATAGCGTTTTTTAAATTGGCAAAACTTATATTTATTTATTGTTAGTGTACATTAAAGCTGTTGTGTACGCAACTCTAATCTAAATGTAAAAATAAGGTACCTGAGATGACATAATGCCTAAAGTATAAAGTATATTTTATCAAATAGCATAATAGAATGTATTGAGGATTTCGCGGTTTAACTCGTTTCTATATTTTTATTAAACATACATCTTTACGTCGATTGTGTAGCGGCTTTAAAGTGCACTGAATGCGCATTAATTCTGCAATGAAAAACGCTATTATATGCAGATTTTTGCGATAATTACAAAAAAGATGGTAGAATTCTATTTTTTAGTAGAGGAATAAAATTCAAAAATAAATAGAATAGAAATATATGATATTACTGCCTACTGTGTCAGTTTTGGGATCCATTTTGTCAAATTCTTATTTTACATAAAAGTTGATTATTGCAAAATTGCAAACAGTATTATAAAAACTGCCATATTATCAGATAGTAAATACTTCTTAATTTGTATTTATGTTTCTGAAGTTTTACTTGTAGCTTTTATTTTATAAATATTATCTAAAAAAACAAGCGAAATCGGTGACTTTCTTCTATATTTGTATTATGACGTACACACATTTAAATAATTTTTTGTACAAATAAATTTTTAAAATATTTACTTAAATAATTACTTACAGCTTTTACGCATCGCTTTATCGTCAGTTTATGTTTCTATTTTAACGTCATCTTAATTTGTGTTAGAAAATTTTATTGACATCGATTTCGATGTCATTGGAATTTTTTAATCTTAATAAATAATAATAATAAAACACTCGTTATATGGCATAGCAATACATAATTACATTTAAAAGAAACGACTGAATAAACGAGCAAAAAACAAAGACGTAGAAAAAATATTTAGATAACTGTATATTTCGGTAATTTACATAAGCGATTAACGTTTCGATTTCACAGAGTCTTTTTCAAAAACTACAAATTTTACTTTCTTATTTTAATAAGTAGTATACAATAGTTGTAATAACAATAAATATTAAGATAAAGAGGCTCTAAGCTATGTGAGCAAACCTAGTGACCCCAATATTGGAAGAGCCGTCTATTGTGTGATACTCACGAAGATGGATATAACGTAATGAAACTAACTAGCTTGTCTAACCAATTAACTGACCCAAGCACGACATAACATTTAACATACAGTCCGTTCATGACTGTTTACATATGTGTGTGTATATATATATAGAATTATATGGAAATTTGCGGCTAAAAAAGATTACTCAGTAAATTAATTACACGGAACAATTAATTGACGTTAAATTAAAATTGCACGTAAAAAACTGTTAAACTGCGACAAATCTTATTAAATATAAATATTACTTTGAATATTACATTGAAAACAATTTCCGATTAAAATGGACAAACCAGAAAATTTTTGATCTGGTTTTCTCAACTAGAATTTAACAGATTCAACCAAAAAAATTCTGATTTCATTTTCAATCATAATTCCAATTAATGTAGCCAGACTCTTTTCCAGCATATGTTAGTAATATAATGTAATTTATTGCTACTAAATATTTTAATAAATATTTGTTCTAAGTAAATATTTGCTAAATGTAAACATATATTTATTCGATACAAAAATCATAATTTTTTTTATTAATAAATATTTGTTTACTGTAAGTAAAAATTTATTTAGTATTAACAAATATATTAAGCTTTCATACATTTTTTTTCTAGTGTCTGCATTCACTTTCTACGCGCATTTAACTAGCAAGTTACAACGATCTCTGAATTCAATTTGCGAATCCTTAAATATTATTCGCACTACATTATGTCGCAATTTTGCCAGCGCGTCTGACTATAAAGCCACAAGTTTCACTGAATAAGAGGGCCAAAGTCGCGCGGTGCTTCCGCGTGATCATCTCAGAAAACAGACTTACCTGCATTCGACAAGGATTATCGAACGTGCCAATTTTCAACACGGTTTTCCCGATCAAATTTGCGCGGGCAAAATTCCCACCATAAAATTCATCCGCTCGACGAGTCCAAGGATAGCTGAGCTTCGGAGCCACCCCCCCGTGCAGCTCAGGAAGGAGGTGGAGAATCTGGCGGGTGGTATAAATTTTCTGAGGTTGCGCATCGTGCTCGTCGGACCCTGAAACTCGTGGTGGTGCCCAAGCACGAAGCAGAGCGCAAGTGGTGCCGAAGGAAACCGGTGGTCCTCCGCCCGCCGCGCAGGATCCCGTTCGTAAACGACGCGACGATTCAGTCGCGGTCCCGTGTTCGGCGCACGAGTGTACCTTGCTCGGGACGATAGCGAGATCGTACGAGAGCGCCGGGGTGAGTTTGAAATTCGACCCGAGTGATTCGACGTAATTCCTGCGACGTCTATTTGTACACACCGCACCTAGAATAAGAAAAAAAAATCAGGGTAATGTAAATGGTTCGTCATGTTGTATTATAGTTCGTCACTTGCAGTGAGTTTATTTCGTGCTTTTACGTGCTCTATTTGGCGCGCAATTCTTAACACAAGATCTGCAGAAGGCGTCAATTATATTTTAGTAAACAAATATATCTGTTAATATAATTAATGAGATATGTAAATATAAAGAATTAATTATGTATCACAATTTTTTTTTATATTATTAAATAATAGTTATGTTTCTTAATTACAAAATTATTAAATTTATTATTTTCTATATATAGTTTTTAATTTCAATCTGATTTCTATGTTCAACTATACTTCTGTACAGTTTCAAATTCCAATTAACTTGATAACTTTATGGATCAATAAGTTCATAAATTTATCACGCACACATCTCACGTCCTTTCGTACATGGAATATAAAATTTTCAGATAGAACTAAATCCCACGATACATATTCATATCTCATTATTTATTCAATCCTTTCGCATGTACGTGCATATGTACATCGTCCAGTGTTTTTTATTTTACTTAATCTATCTTTTTCCCGACGTTAAACGCTCGCAAAAGAAAATTTCTTTTGCGCGTTATAATTTTGATTTCAAGTTTCTCGAAACTTAATTCAATCTTGAAAATAACAAAAAGCTCACTGTGTTGCGAAGATGATAAATGTGACAAAAAAGTATATCGTGGAGTATCTTTTCTCTCCGGTCTTCATATTCCCGATATTGAATTTGGCTTCTAGCCAATGTACTAACGATTTCGATATCGAGAGAATCATGTTTTCCTGAAAAGACCAAGTACTTCGCAAAAATAGTATTTATGTAGGAATCACAATAAACGATCGTCGTTTCGTGTCTTGGAAGAATCTCGCAGATACATATCGGCAATCATCGGAAATGAGAACAAACGTATCTCGCAAACATTAATTTACGCTTTTCAGGCGGAGGATTCGAGAAAATGAGAAATGCTACTTTTTACTACTTACATCATTCTTTCAACGATGTCGTATCTCCCAGGAAATTGCGAATCGTAGACAATGAGACTTATTGCTCTCGACGACACTAATATCGCACAACGTCGAGGACGACAATATGAAAATATGTGCCTTCAACAAATACGGAATGTTTCAAGAAGCTAATTTAATGACAAATCCTTCAAAGAACTCTAAATTTATTTTTTTGGAGGGAAAAAAATTGGCGCGACTTGCGAAGAAGATTAATCATTTCACTCGGGAACTGAAAGAAAAATGGAAGACAATGCAAATCTAAATACTCGAATTCTCAGAAGAAATTCGAATTACGTACGCTGTCTTTGCACAGGATACAAGTATAATAATTCAAGGAGCGGTCTTAGCGTCGCACGTTTATTTACAGACTGTTATATAATTGCGTTTTTTAATAAACTAAAAGGATAGCAAAGACACGGGCGAAATAACACGAGGTGAAAAATACCGCAGAAGGTTTCGATTTGCAAAAGTATCGATAAATATATAGATCGCGCTCGTATATCGTCGAGTGTCGTGGTGGTACAAAAAGCATCGAAGTGGAATTGTTTTTCTTTCATCAGATTTTCCAGTGAATATTGTTAAATAATTCTCTTCCGGATAAAGCTGAAAAGATGAAGTTTCAAAGGAGGGAATCGTACCGGGATCGATTTTCCGTCAAGATAATTTCACGAAAGGCTCTTCATAATCTCGCTTTCATCCGAAACTCGAAACGTCCGCGTCGAAATGACCTGGCATGGTTAATGAATTCGCCGGGGCGAACTTCTGCCGCGTGAGGAAGCAAGGACGGTCCCGTCGAGAACGTCAGCGTAATGTCAACATTAATACTGTTTCAGCCTTTATACCTTATATCCTTCCAGCTGTCCGCCCACGCGCCGAATTAATGTTTTCGCAGATACGGGGCCATTGATTTTACGTCAAATATGGTTACTAGGGTTCGGCTATCGGCGCGACCTACGTCGACGTTCGACTCGAACTGTCTGTTCGCACATGTTACTGCGTTAAATCGTCGGCTATCACAAACCAAATCCGAACAGCGCTGTTGGTAAAAACCAGTTCGATCCTAATGGAGTTGACGTCTGTAAATGTCTGCGAATTAGAGAGTGATATTGATTCCTATCAAGTATCAAGACAAACTTGAATGGCTGTATAATTTATATACACAAAACTAAGCGATTAACTGAGGAATAGTCACTTGGAACGATCTTTACACTCCAAAAATGAGGAAATGATTGCTCAGTAATTTTTTTATTGATTGAGAATCTATGCTTATTTTTTAAATTTTACCTTACATGTTTTAAAAAGTAAATAATATTGAGTAAACCTATAATAATTATCGATACTAATAAATTGTAGAACAATCAGTAATATACAACATGTAATTTATATGTCTAATTTTAATTGGGATTTAAAAATCATTCCTGGCTTACGTTAAAAAAACTGATGACTATTCCATTTCCCAGATTAAATGTCTGATATAAAAATGCCACTTATGTTCTTCATATTACATGCGTGGTTAGTTAATTTTTCCTATATTAAGGTTGTAAACACAAAAAAAATTTAAGATAAAATTTAAGCTGCAGTAATTAGCAAATCGATCCAATCACAATACAGACGTAAGACAATAACGTAAGTTGTGGCAAATCCAAAATGTTTGTTTACAGCTTATGTCTTACTCTAATTAAATTTTTTTCTGCCCCATAATCTTCTCTCTGAAGAGTGAAATGTCACTCTTAAATATTAAATTTATTGAGTCACAAATTGAGAACAACACAATTGAACCACAAATCTTCAAGACTGGTTCAATTTTCACTCTTTAGAGTAAGATTCTTTTCCAGAGAATTTAGAGCGTATGCTGCTATGCAAGCTTGTCCAGATAAGCCCTTAACTCATCATCACTTGTCACAACGATAAGAAATAACTGCATATTGGGCAATATTTTTATCACAAACGTTCTTTATACGTTTCTTCAAGCAAAAGAAAAAAATTGATTATTCCAAGCTCTGATGGGAAGAAAAAAGAGAAAACAAAAGCGAATGTTAATTGAGGGCAAAGTCAGATAGTAGACGCAGTATTCAATTGCGCTATACAGATTACATCCACTCGATTCGCACAGATTCAAATGCGCCTGCATCCATCGAATTAATGCGGTGGATTGTATCCGTTCTCTGCAATGGACACATCGCACACCTCGCGCAACAACGTTCCTCGTCACGTGTCCCTCTCGATCGGAGGGTGGAAATCATCGGACATCAAGCATTCCACAAGAGATAATCAATAAACATATCATACCCTCGTATACAAATTTCTTCGGTTTTAGGGATATTGTAAATTAATATTAATACGCTTTAAATCCGGCGTTCTTTAAAATCCTTCCCTCCAGGGATCACGGTTGTTGTTGTTAGGAATTGAAATTGGGTCATGTCCATTTATTTCGAGAGAGGGTATAGAAACGAAATTAAATAGCTGAATTCCGGAAAGCGAAATTAATCAAATCAAACGGAACTTATTAAAGCTCTTTTATAATCTATATTCAATGTTCTTTTTTTAGAGATCTTTGATCTTTAAAATAATTGTCTGTAATTTCCTGCGGACATTTTCTTACACGTTTGTATGGTTGGTATGAATGATTTCCTCGCGTAAGAAATGAAACCTTTGCTTTCGAGTGGCCTTTCCTATGATTGGAAGTAATCGGATCAGAAGCAATTTTCGAACCGTAAGAAGAACACGTCCTCGAAAGGAACAATTTTAATTAAATATCTTCGCTTTTGCTGAATAATATTTTGTTTCCATGATAACGACGAGTTAGTTTGAATAAATTAATGCTAGTTTGAACTTCGCTTGAGAACACAGTTTGCAGTTCTTCACTCAAACGATTCAGAAATCAATTTCATTGGGAGGAATAATCTTCTCCGCTGCGAGAGAAAAATAATAGACGCGATTAAAGTAAAATTATCAAATAATTATCATCAGAAGACTTCTTTCCGGAGATGTAACTGGAGATACATCGTCACCGCGTAGCCGACAAACTCTTGCGAAGTTTTCTCATTTCGAGTTCGTTAACACGCAAAATCGCTGGCTTATCCAGCGATCCGTTTCAAGTCGACGAGAGCTTCGTCGACTTATAAGTAACGTGAATAACGTTATGCAGCGTTACTTTGGAATCGTATATTGCATCTAAAGACATAGAGGATAGACTGCGGCAACCATATAAAAAATTGATCGATAAAAATGAGAGAAATAGGACGCAAAGACGAACTCTTTGTCTCTTTCTATTCAAGATATCACATCTTAGAAAAGGAGATTGGCTGTCTTCATGCTCTTTCTTTCTTATTTTTGTTGATCACATTTGATACAATATTTAGATATGGATGATAGTTTCATATTTTATGACCGATATTTATAGTCTTCTTATTTCAAGGCTGTCTTAAATAATGTCCTAAGACGCTAATGCGGCTCTCTGATTGGTTCGTGGCACCTCAAGGCTGAACTTAAGACAATCTTGAATATAAGAACTAAACTATGAATACTAGCCTACATCTTTGATTGCTCAGAGTAAATTAAGTTACCTAATCCGCCCCGATTTAGATTCGAGCTGCAAATAATTGCGCCAATAATGCCCGGCGATTGTGATTATGACGGAGATAATAATGAGAACGATCGTATGTCGAACTTTGTAATGGGGATTGTAATGGGGATGCGAAATAGTTGATATGCGAAATATAAACACACATAACAGCGGGATGGGTCAATAACGTTTAGTTTAGATCGCGCGCGCGTGCTCGCACAATGTACACACATCTTCGCGTATATAGCTATACAATATATAGATACAATGCATATACCGGTGACGCACGAAATCCCGCGATTTGTGAAGGAAACTCAGGAAGTAAGCTCGCGTTTGCCAGTTATGCCGTGGCTTATCTATTCCGGCCTCCGATCCCCAAAATTTGATAAAATCCCACCGTTCACACGCACGTAATCATGCAACCTTATCGTTACTTCCCGAAACAAGTCGACCACCCGCGGTGAAGATACTCTAGATAGATCATATAATATCTTCAAGGTAAAGTCGGGAGCCATAAAGGAGCGATACCGTGAATTATCACGTAGATCACCCACAAAGATAGAATGTCTTTGTTTGGGAAAGATTGAAACAAAAACTAGCCGTAAGCATACAATACCACGACCACACAAAACAGTTGTCTTTCAAAAACAATTTATATCTTTATTTTCGTGGAAAGAACGATTTAAAAATATTTAAAAATATCTAAAAGTTTATAGATATAGATCCGTAAATAATTTTGTTAGATTATCCAAATATGGACGACCTATGTAGGTTGTTCAAGTTGATTGCTCGAATGTCAAAACTTTTTGCATTTTTAGATGTCAAAGAAGTAATGGTAGCCCAATCTTTTGTATTGAATATAACATTTTATTATTTCTAACTTCTATGTGTATCAAAATATAAATCAATCCATTTCTGCATGAAAATAACGATTTTGTTGAAACATCTAAAACTTTAGGTAGATACAGATTTGAAAATACCGAAGCTAGATCTGAAAATAATTTTGTTGAATTATCAAAATAATTGTGTAAGATTTTTAAAGTGGATGTTAGAATGTCAAAATTTTTATTAGATATCAAAGCAGCATTGCTTATCATGCTTGAGTTTTTTGCATTGTTATTTTGATAGTCTAACAAAATTATTTTCAGATCTGTATTTATCTAAATTTTTAGATACTTCAGTAAAATCATTCTTTCTATGCGCAATTAATTTTAAAGTAAATAACGGCCTGCAGTTAGTATAAATAATAAATTAAATTCCAGGCAAATTTAATACATTTTCGTTAAATTGTTTAACTCCATTGTTTGAATTATGAAATATTAAATAGGAGTAGTGATGATTTATAGAAATGATTAAAAATAATTCATAAATTAAATATAATTTAACACATTATGAATTTAACAGTGTGAGTACACTGTTAAATTCATAATGTAAATTATAATTATGCTCGAGTACTTATTCTATTCAATTATTTTAATGGTCCAACAAAATTATTTTCAGCTAACAACATTTTAGATACTTCAGCAAAATCATTCTTTTTATGTATACAGCTTTAAATGTTTTCGGAAGAAAGTTTCAAAGAAATGTATGAAACAATACCGGAGATTGCGCAACTAAAATTTCCTGAAAATGAAATTGTAATACTTTTTATTAATGCCGTCGAATGTCATCTTGTTCTATACGAATTTCGTTGGCTCTGTCTGACCATATGGAGACCATTTCTACTCACTTCTTCAAAAGTAGTTTAACGATAGTAATTAATCTGAAATTGAACTTCCCTGACACCTTTAAAAGTTTCCAGATCGCGAGTAAGGAAGATGGCTGAGGAACAGCCGAAGTACAAATTGATCTACTTCAATGCACGAGGTCGTGCCGAGCATATTCGCTACATATTCGCCTATGCCGGTATCGACTATATCGATGAAAGGATCTCCAACGACCGCTGGCCTGAGCTTAAGAAGTGTAAGTGCCAGAATTTAAATTAAAATAACTTGCAATATGTAAATTTGTTGCATTGCGAATTCTAATAAACTTAAATAAAACTTTGCGCAAGAGACTTAATTTTAATTTAATTTCAATTAGAGTAACTCCGACAAATACGCCGCGCTGGGATTTACGCCGCAGAAGTCAGAAAAAAATAGAAGGAGTGGGGGTAATTTTCCCGCAACTATTCTATTACATATCTTTATGTTATATTAGTATTGTGTTATGATTTCAGTTTTTTACTGTTAATATTAATGAAATTATTGTGAGTTGAATGGATTTGTCACTGTGTTAAGCGCCATCATAAATTATAATCTACATAAAATAATTACTGTAGGACGTGCAAAAATCTTAATGGTTATTTCACGATATATCAGTGTGGGGAAATAGTAAAGCATGTTGTACAACAAAATACAAGTTCTTTGTTCTTTGTTTAGTTTGTTGTCTTGTATATCCCATTTGTTTGGGATATACGACATTTTTAACAAGCGGGATTTATGCTCAAAGTATACAAAGTGCGCAGATTGAATTCACTAAATATAATAAACACGTTACATGAAATATATACCTCATGTCATAACACTTGTAATACATCTGGGAAGATTGTAATTATTATTTATTACTTCATATACATATTTATCATTCTTATTCCTTAATAAAATTTTATAAACATTTAACGCATTTAAGTTATTGTGTCATTTTATGTCTTATTTATGTCTTATTTATATGCATTATTTGTAAATTTTTTATGAGTCATATCCCTCTCCCCCCTCCTTCCTCTATGAGTAGCCAGGGAATATGATATATCCCATCCCTATGGGATATATCAAAAACGGCAAAAATGCAAAAGTTTAAAAAAGTTCATTTTTTAATACTAAATATAAATATTTCGGATTTCTAATATTTTTTTTCGTAATAGTAGACAGTACAAAGTTTTTATTGATATTAATTCGTTTCTTTAAACATAGCAAATAATATTTAATAAATTAAGTTTTTGATAGGCGCGATGTATATACCAGAGTTACTCTATAATTACAAATTAAATTCGTTGAACATAGATAGAACAAAAGAACAAAAAAATACGACACTAATAAACACGAAATAATTCTAACAATTTAAAATTAATCGAAGGTGTACGGTGTATATTCTCATTCGATAACTCGAGTGAAGACAAATTGCTTCGAATCTTTCGTTTCCACTTAAGCTTGCGCTTAAACACGACCCGCCGATTGCTTTCTCCTGTTCACAGCGATGCCTTACGGAATGCTGCCAGTTCTGGAGATAGACGGTAAGCCGATAGCGCAAAGCAACGCCGTGGCGCGTTACCTGGCCCATGAGCACAATCTCACGGGCAAGGACGAATGGGAATCGATGCTGTGCGATGTGCTGGTCGATACCTTGGGAGACTTGAAACAATGTAAGTGATACATATGCCTGGTGCAGTCCACAACGGTCCCGAAAAGCCGCTTACAACCCTCTCTCCCTCTCTCCCTCTCCACCTCGACACCGAATCGATATTCCTTTTCGCCGGTCACGAGTCTATCTCCAGTCGCGATTTCTCGTTTTTGCAGAGGATCGCTATCATCTACGACGAAAGTTCCGAATCGTTCTCATTGCGCAACTGTTTTTCTTTTAAAGGACTTATATACAAGGCGCTTTCCAACAAGAATACAGTGTAACATAGTAAATCATTTTATCCTTGCTTAATGTTGACGAACAACAAGAATGTAATGACTTACTGTGTTACACTGTATCCTTGCTGGAAAACTCCTACAATTAGGCTCCTTGTAACTTTTAGAAACTTTCCAGCAAAAAACATAGATGACACAGTGTAACACAGTGTGTCATTACACTCTTACTGTTTGCCAATGTTAAACAAAGAAATGGTCATTGTATTACACTGAGTCTTTTGGACAGCACCAATTACATCCTTGTTGTTTGTCAATGTAAAACAGAGATAAAAAGATTATTGTGTTAAGGCCGGAGTACGGACTTTGCGTAATAAAATATAAAAGAATCAATCAATCAGAGTCTTATTTCATGGAATAAAAGAAAATGAAAGATTTTAATTGATTTATTTTCTTATACATTATGTATTATGAAAGATTCTATACTTCCGCTCTCACACTGTATCTTTTGCTAGAAAGCATCATTCATGACAGTAATGATTGCATTACATTGTCGTTGCATAAGTAGTTTTACGCATAATAAAAAAGCTGCACAACGTCAATGTAACGATATCATTATTGTAAGAGAAGAGTTACAGAATAGGAATCGCAAAGAATCGAGACAATCGTGGTTTTATCCTTCTTCAATAAATAACATAGAAAAAATAGAACGACACTTACATCAATCGTATCTCTTAAAAGGAAAACAATCTTAATCAAGTCCCGTCAAGTTTGCCAGTCGAGAGTCAATCGATATCTTCGATCTACGATACTCGAGCTCCAGAAGACGAATCTTCCGCAGAGACATGGAAGATTGCGCCGTCGAAAACGAAACGATCTATCGAAGATGCTTTCGGAGATGCTATCACAAAGATAGAAAGAAAAAAGTGCGCAACACGATGCTTGACATAAATTTCCAGGAAAACTCCGGCCTAGTGACGGGTACGAAAGTAGTTCCGCTTTTCGCTTCTCTGAAAGACACGCGCGATCTCGCGCGACCTATATTTCCAAACTCCACGAGGTCGTCACATAATCGAGCGGACGGCTATCGCTCCGGAAAAGTATTCTCGCGAAATCTCACGTTGTGCGTTGTACCGCAATTAGATCACTGCCAACGTAATCCCTGAATAATAATACGAACGACTCTAATTAGACGCTTAACAAGATCTTCTAGTATCGGGGATTTAGAAATTTAATCTATACGATCGTTCAATAAACAATCTTTGAGAGTACTTAGATATTTACAGAGCATAGACAATGATATATTTCATAATAATTGTACAATGAACCACTAAAACTCGCGCACGATTTGTTTTCCAGTTATCTTTCAATATCGCACAGAGGAGGATCACTTTAAGAAGGAGGAAAAGAAGGCAAAGCTTCTGAAGGAAACAATACCGTTCTACCTGAATAAGTTCGAGCAAACTGTTGCTGAGAATGGTGGTTACGCAGTCGGTTCTACGGTAAAGAGAAACCTCTCTAACGATCTTGCCTTTACGAGAGTCTATTTAATTAAATATAAATTAAAGCAAACTAAATTATGTGCAGAGGAATATAAAAGGAGCGAAAATAAAATATTATTTGCTATCCTGTTCGACGTCCTCGTCGTTAAAATCGAAATAGAGTGATATAGGAGCTCGAACGCATTGAACGGACGTTGAATATCGCGTATCCAGGACTTTTAATTAAAATAGTTCTTTATGCGGTATCACGATAAATAAAAAAAAAATTCGTTTCGATGATAAATTGCCTCGTTGCTTTGCAGACCACGTGGGCGGACTTCGTATTCACCGTGGCTTTGGAGAACTTTGAGAACATTTTCGGCGCGACTGCCTTAGAGAATTATCCGGCGTTACGTGGCTTGAAAAAACGGGTACATGAAATTTCAGCAATCGCCGACTGGCTATCACGGCGACCTCATTCAGAGTTTTGAAATGTCAATTCAACGACGGAAACCGGAAGGCAACATCGACGGCATCAAAAACAAGTACATATCTGACACTTGCAGCTCACTATTCTATATCGCTAACGGTCGATATTAATTGCAACGTAATAAACGATGCGCTTTGTATCCATTTCCACACAACACAGTTCTAGGAGAGGACATTTCTTCGAAAACTGTGTTGTGTGGAGCGCACTTTATTTAAGCTATTTACATTTGAATAAATTTCTCTAAATTTAAAATGAATATTTTTTAAATTAAGTTCTCTAAATCTTTTTAATTTCGATATTAAATTATTCAGTTTGTCATAATTTATTTTATGTAAATATATATTTATTTAAAAAATGACAATATTATACGTCACAAAATCAATTTTTAAGTGACATTTTATTATCAATCACATGAAATAATACAATATTTATATTAATCTAAAGATGCAAAAAAAATTAATATTATTTGTATATCATTGGTCAGGCAGAAGAAATATATCTCGCTTATTGTTACTACAAAAAAAAGAGAGCGCCATTGTTTTAATTTCATCATGTTAATTTCATCATGTGCGAGTTACACGAACTTATTACATATCGTTGATCGATCCTCGTTTATAACTCGTTTTCGCTAGCAAATTATATGAATAATGTGCGTAAGATTACTGTCGAATGGATGTCTAGGATCAAATGAAGCTTGATCAATGTGTTCATTTATCGCGCGTCGCGTGCATAGTATGGCGTAAGTAATGCATTGTTACAACGCGACTTCTGTTGCTATCACTGAAAAAAAACATCGAGAAGTGCGACAAGCGTGATATCCCGGATGTCTCATATTTCGTTATTTCTTTTTTTATAGACAGATCCAAGCCGAATGAGCAAACATAAATGAACCATTCGCTTCAATAAAGACGGTGCCGACGACATTCCTGGTGAAAATAAAAATCGAGGTCAAATGTATAAGAAAGTAACAGAAGCGTGAATGAAGTTTCCAGGAGGCGAAAATTGAGACAACGAAACGTAAAAGAGGTATTTACGCTTCTTTTATGTTTCATGGTCTCAATTTTTGCCTCCAAAAGCTTCGTTTATGTTCCTGTTATTTTCCTTTTACATTCAACTCATATTCCAATTTTTATTTTCGCCAGAGATAACAAGTCATTCGTTTGTGCTTGCTCAAGTCTGGGTCTGTGTTTGTTCAAATCCATTTTTATATGCTGCATTGATAATATTAGCGATTGCGATAATATTGCGGTCTCGCTTCCACAAAATCTCGATACTTAATTCATAAAGTGTCATCCTTACACGAAATATGTCCAGGCAGAGTTGAACACGGTTGTAATAGAGTTACACAGTTACACAGGGTAAATTAAATGTACGAAGAACAAGAAGATGCTTTGAACTAATGAATGTAGCGTTGTAAATGCTTACAATTCTACACGCGTATTTTATGTACAAAATTTTGCAGCCAACAAAGGAAAATGCAAGAAGTGCAACAAAATAAAATGCAATCAATAAGATTGATTGCAACGAAGATTTAAAGATAATTTGTAACATCGTCATGCTTTTATCAATAAGACATCTTTATAAATATATTATATATCCAGACAGCACAGAATATTTATGATAAATATTTATTAATATTCTTTTTTTTAAATATTCTTTTTGTTATATAGCTATTTCATATTTTATATAAAGCTTTATTCGAAATATTGTTAAAATACAGACTAAATATTTTGTAATATTTATGATAAATATAAATAAATACTTTTAATAAGTATTTTTTTACTTGAATTATAATGTCTCATTTAGTACAATATTTTCATAGTATTATCATAGTATTTTCATAGTATTACTATGACATTTACAATAAATATCTCATAATATTTATAATAAATGTTTGTCTGTGCAATCTAAGACCACAAAAATATTTAAAATAAATCTTATAAAAATTTACAAATACTTTGTAAATATTTTATAAATATTGTGTGTTGTCTGTACGTAAGATCTAGCTCGATGTCATAAGATCATCGTGTTTGAACGAAATAATAAACGAGAAGAGAGAGATGCGCTTGTAAAATATATCTTGCAATTAGAAGGGAGCAACGGAAATAATGGTAGACTTTTTAATGTGCTACGATGAAGATGATAAAAAGCTTTGTTCTTTCATCAATGCTTAAAGACGTGCCAGCAGGTACGGCAATATAGTCAATTGTAATTATCAAACGAGTTTTTAGGAGAGAGAACTGGCTGCATGTATGTTGCAATGTTACGATGCGACATTATATATGTAATGTTAAGTATACTATTAAGTGTTGAGATTACAGATGATGTAATATAAATGTTATTGCGATTACATAAGGAACAGTATGACTGATAATAATAATGTGATGCAAACAATTAAGAGTCCAATTGATCTTATGTCGCATATATTAATACCAATAATGCATCCTCATTCATAAAATATAAAAAGTATGAAAAATTTATGTGCATGCACTTACGACTTGAATCGTGAAATATGCTTGTATCAAGGTATTCATTTTCCTCTTTTTGAATTATTTTATTTCAAGATTCAGAGCAGGTAATTGTGGTAATTATCGATCAATAATTACAAAGAAATCTGGAACAAAAATTAGTAAAGAGGATTATTACATATTCTTTACTTATAATTTGATTAAAATTATAATTATATTCGAAAATTCTTTAGCAATAAAATTTCTTATATAATATTCTACATATATTTTCGCTTTTATACATGTTTTT